CTCAGCTCCACCACCAGCCAAAAGTGATGACAGCTCAAGAAAATGTCTCTGGATTGCTCTGGTGAGGAAGACATGAGTTCAACTCAAGAAGATTCATATTTCCCCAGGACTTTGCAAGTACCAAGATTATAGAAACATAAAATAGAATCATAAAATCATTTGAGGTGGAAGGGACCTTTAAAGATCATCTAATCCAACCCTCAAGATCATGTAGAGTTTTAATGTTTTTGTTTTGTTTTAATAATAATAATAATAATTTCTTTTTCTTTTAATTGCTTGTACCTAAGGTATGCATGGCCACTGGTCCTCTGTCCATGGTACCACCATTGGGCTGCCCGCTGTCTCCCAGTACCAACTCACCCATCCTCCTGTGAGCACATGGGCTTAATTCTATCTCCATACTCATATGAAGACCAAATTCCACTTTTTTTGGCAGCTCTGCTGGAGGTGTCATGCCAAGAGACAGATAAAGTCAGTCTGATGGTTCATAGTCTGACCTCTAACCATCTTTTTTAGCTGAGGAGTTGATGAAGTAGGAGGCAGCCCATCTTCCTTCCCAGCTCCCTGCTGCTGTCTGGCACCTAAAAACTGAGAGATCTTTTTAAACCAGATGCAACCAAACTTGAATTCTACAGGACAATAAGAACAGGCACAACTATATAATCACATAATCTGGGGTTTGCAAAGATCTTCAGTCCAAAGCAGTTATCCATCTGTGGCATTTTGTTTTTCCTTTTTTGCATTAAACATTAATATTAGTTCTGTGTTTTGTTTATTTTATTGTAGGAGTAGAAGATCTATGCACTTCCCCATTATCAGAGGAGAAGAAGCAGTAGCAGGAAGTTAGGTCAATAAAATTGCCCTATATTGAAGAGAAGGGATTTTGTTCCTTAACAAACTTCCACTGGAGAAAAAAAATAGCAGAGCTGCTTCCTTCGTTTCATCTCAGGCCTCCTTCCCAGCTCCTTGCCATGGATTCAATTACCCTGGGAACAAGATGTGGCTCTAAATTAAATCAAACCATTTATTTGTCTGGGGCAGCTTGGCCAAGATACATCATGCGGTTTTTCAGAGAAGTTGCTGCCATCTGAAAGTATGTCTTTGCAGTTGTCAGTCCTCATCAAGAGCAGGAAAGACATGGGTGCTTGTGTCAGATTGACATTTTTATCCAGTGAGTTTTTTCTCCCCTCAAGGGAAATGCTCCAACCCAGGATGGGTCTTCTTTCTTCATGGATGCTTTCTTGTCTCCATTCATAGCATGCTTTTTGAAACCACATTTTTCCATGCTGGAGACACAAATTTCCATATACCCCAAACTCCCCTTTCCCCCAAAGTTTGATTTTTTTCCAGGCCTCTCTAAACCTGCTCTATGCAGGTAAAGACCTTAGATGTGTGTTTTTGGGAAAAATCCTGTGAATTCACCTGTTTTTACTTTGGGATGCAAAGAAGGAGAGAGACTTCTGCCCACCTTTAGATTGTAATATGCCAGGCTCTGAATTTTTCATTCATCTCCTAGATTCTTTTCTCAGCTCCCTGCACAGCTGCTTCAGGAAAGCTTCTTTATCTCACAGCCCCACAGGAAGAAAAATATCTGTTTCTTTATTGTCTCACCTGAATCACAGATGGGAGAAGCATGGAGGACTGTCACTGATCTTTTCCACAATGTGTTCTTACTGCTCAGCCCTTCAGTACCTTTCAGTTCTTTCTCCCGCAGGAAACCCCCACTGGAGAGATGTCTCAAAATCAAAGCACAAGGCTGTTCTAGGGCTCTAAAACATCCACCTTTCTCTATGATCTCTATTTAATGGGAACTCTTCCACGAGAGTATTTGGGACTCAAATGACCAGGCTATCTTCCTGTTTTATACATGTATATATACATATATATAAAAGACATTTGTGACATTGACCTCTGGAAATGACCATGGTAGACTTTGGTCCTGGGGGCACAGAAAGCTTGTTAGACCCTCCTAAAGAGACTGGCTGTAGAAATTCAAGAATGGCAGATAAGAGAAGCCTTTGAAAATTGTAGAAGGAAAAAGGAGAAGAATTTATTAAAGAATGAGATGCAAGGAAATAATGCCAGTTTTTGGGGGGTATGTTACTAGACACAAGGCAAACAAACAGTCCTGTGTAAAGACCTTCAAAAGAATTTCTGTCATTTCACTTCAGAGCTCCCCATGATTTAGTGAAAAAAGACAAATGTCTACAAAATAGATGGAGAGAGAAGACCCAGAGAGCAACTTTCCTTTAAGTAAGAATCATCCTGACAGCAAGCTGATAAATCTAAACAAGATGGGGACTTACAGCTGGAATACTTGGCACTTTAGGAGGCATTAGAGCAGATACTGGCAGACCTGCCCTATTGCCAGCACCTGCCCTCACATCCAGGTTTGCATTTACACTTCTGATTTCCCCAATGCCAAACCCAGACCTCTATGAACTCATAGAAATGGTCCCCAGAAGGACCCCCTTGCAGAAGGACCTTGCCACAGCCCCGCTTTACACAAGAGCCATTGTGCCGCTGTAAACACCGAGCGATGAGGAATTAGAGACATGATTTGGAAGCAGACTCCTGCTTCTGTGTTAGGTTAATTAGTGGTTTGCTAGTATGTTAACTGCTCTGCACATTGACCTCAGGCTGGCTTGTCTGTAATGAACAAAAGCAGTTCTCCAGCAACAGGTAACCACTGATTTCTCAGGGACTATAACGTAACTAACAAGCATTCAGTTACTGAGTCTCCCATCTGGCCAAGAAGTGAGAAAATCCTTCTTAGGAAATTCTCTCTCTCCATCCTCTAAGGAAACAGGTTATTAGAAGGATCTCAAGTCCAATTTAATCCCAGTCTAATTTAAAACCCAGAGTCTGTTACTGTTTCAAATCGTCCTCATTTCTTCTCAGCAGCCTCTTGAAGCTGGGAGACTTTTTGGACCAAGGTCTGATGACGGCCAATTTTGTTTCCATGGTAAAGTTCATCAAGAAAGAATTCACCTTTTGTAGGAAACTCCATTTTGACCAGGAAATGTATTTTTGCCAATGCTAAGCGCAGCTAGACAGGCTTTGGTCAGGAAGTAGGATAGGGCCAGACTGAAAATCCAAGACTTTTCCCTTTCCTGTGAGGATGTCCCTGCATTGACAGGTTATAATGTTGAACTACATTCTGGAAAAAAAAAAAAAGAGAAAGAAAAGAAAAAAGCAACAACTCCAATACACAGTGGTGGCTCTTGGGTGACCCAATGGCCTGGCTTCTATTTTTTTCATGGGCTTTAGGAAAAATTGCAAAGGCTGCAAATCTCAGCAAAAGAAATGCTGCAAGCTGCAAGCAATGCTGACTGCCTTTTCTGCCAAGAGTTTTGAGATGATCCCTGGAAACACATTTGGTTTTAATCAGGCCCCTGCACTGTGGAACATCCTGTTTGTCTACACTTATTATTACTGACAAATTATCCTCCTCCAAATCTCAGGGAGCATTCACTTTATCCTCACATTAAACCTGATTGGAAACAGTAGGTTTAATTGGACTCAGCATGAGGCCCAGTCGTAAACTGCACCAGTTCCCTTTTTTATTGTGGCATTCACTAGATGTGTGAAAATACTATATTTCATATACAGACCCCAGTTTGCTACTGCAAGAGCTGTTAAAGACAATGCACAGATGCCCTGTGCTACATGAGCAACCTCTGCCCATTCTTGGTGCACCTATGGTTGGGAAAAGTCTGCTGTTTTCAGCAACGTGCATCTGCAATATGTCTCTCCATAGGAAAAGATCCTGCCCTCATAATCTGAGAGTTTGCTTCCATCATTAACAGAGCCCTGTGGTTTGCAGAATGGGCTGTAGGATTCTGATCTATTTCACCTGAAGTCTGAGGTTTTGTCAAAATGGAGAAGCTGGAGCAGGATATGGAAGATGCTCCTCCTATCGGCAGTGCACAGAAACATGAGCATCTTCCTCTCATCAGCTGGAAGTTTTTTGCCCAGGGAAGTCTATTGCAATAAGAAAACCTGAGGGATATTTGAGCAACACTCTGAGACCTTTCCAACATCTTTGATTTTCTCTTGCCAGAGCTGCTTCTCTATAGTGGGCACTGCAGGATGAGTTGGGGGTTTTCCACTCAACAAATCAGCTCATGTACCAAGCCATTGAGAGTTGCTGACAGAAGCTGTGCTATTAAGTAATCTTTTGCAAATGTCCTGGGTGTGGAAAACCATGAGACAGCACAATCTGTCTGAGATTTAGAGGAAAAAACAACCCAGAAGACAAACAGAGGACACAACGCCTTTGCTATTTGTGTTTATACAGTTTGGGTTTATTCATTAGGATCTGCAGCTGGAAAGGAGTGCAAGCTGCAGAAATTAAGCTTTTCATGACAGTACTCCTAACTGGGTAAAATATCATCATTCAAGGGATTATCTTGGCTTAGTTATTATTTTAAATCGGATTGAAATTACGTTTGTATGTGTCATGCCTGTATATACCTTGCTCTGGAAGCAAAGCCAGAGTGCATTTTATGTGTTCTCAGTTTACAAGCTATTGGTCCTGGTATTTTGCCAAAAAGTCCCTTGAAAATGACAAAAACACCACATGGGTTGTTGATTAAGGTTCCCTACTGGAAAAAAATACCAACTAAAAACAACAACAAAAAAAAAGAATTGCAAAGATAATGAATATGCAGAAATGGAGATCAGTCCCAAACTGTGCCAAAGCACAAATTTAATTCTTTTCTTCAAAACTGCCTTCAACAACATTTTTACCTCTTGCTGTGTGGTAAATAGCATTCCTGTAATGCTCCATCCAGTAACAAAGTCCTGCAAATCACAGAGTCATTTGAATAGGGTATGAAAATGAGTCCTAATCATGGGGATTTTAGAGGCATCTAGAATAGATATCCAGTTGAGGAATCTAGATTAGAATCCAGTTGAGTGGGTAGACTGGAACACTCTTTTCTAACACCATGGAAAGATCCAGGCTCTTTGTGCTGTCACAGCATGTCTCTGGCAATTGCAGGTAGGAGAGGAATTTGGACCTGCCATGCTCCAGTATCCACCTAATCCTTCAGCCAGGGTTTCCTATGCATGTCCCACCAGAGTAGGGTAAGTAGGGTAAACAAACCAAAGATGCATCCTCCTCCTGCTCTGCTCCTCATAACCTGCAGCACTGATTTCCACAACATCTTTTTTTT